CAATGCGTCAAACAACAGTAGCACAAACATGAGTCTGTGTGAGCAGATGAGGACGAATTAACACAGCAACATGAAATAAATCAGCAGCATAAGATCAGCATCATGGATAGTCAGCAGCACATGAAATAAATCAGCAGCATAAGATCAGCATCATGGATAGTCAGCAGCACATAACAACCAAGTGGCACCACATTGATTTTTAACATAATGATTTTTTTCACAGTAGTTTTCACTGTGATAATCCTGGTTAGAGTTTCATGAGTCTAACAGCCTCAGGGTAGAAGCTGTTCCTCAGTCTAGTGGTTCTACATGTAATGCTCCTCAACCTTCTGCCTGCGTTGAGTGGGGCAAAAAGTGTGTGTGCTGGAGGAGTGGGGTCCTCCATGATCAGGTGGCCCTTTTCCTGCATCTGGAGGTGTAGATGTCTGTGATGGTGGGGAGCCTGACTCCAACAGACTTCTGTGCAGCCTTCACCACTCTCTGCAAAGCTTTCTGCAGCTGTGCAGCCTCCATGCCACACGTTGATGGTGCACAAGCTTCCTCTAGTGGTGCACTTTTAATTTACAAGTATATTTAACAGCTTGAGGCCCAGTTTATGGTTGATGATCTGCTTGAATGTCAGTTTCATTAGAGGCCCGTGTTATAAATTATTTTTTTTTACATGCAGCAGTACCAAATTACCAAGGAAAAAAAAAATTCCTTTAAATTAATATATTTATGCACTTTTTTTTTTTTTTTTCATTTTCACTGTGACTATGCACACGTTCATTTACCATAAACTGTTGTACGTCATTGCATTCAGGGACTAATGAACTCAAAAGGATGAATGAATGAGTAAATTCTGCTGTTGAAAAATATTCATATATGAATGTTTCCATCAACCACTTTCCTGTTATAAGAAGTATTGAAAAGGATCGTCAATGTATCTAGGTGCTACAAAAATACTCAACAAGCTCAGGTGAAACAGTGTTGTCAGATAAATGTGTGTCCTGGTCGGGTGACTGGGCGATGGATGGATGCACAGATCTTCCTTTTTTTTCTATCAAGTTGTACAAATAAAAAGCAAAAAAAACATCAAAACTTGTTCCAGCAATGTGTTGGAGGTGTCAGTGTTAATTTGACATCTGTGTTTGTCCTCTCCCGTCCAGTGAGTGACTGAAGATCTCCTCTGCATATCATTAAGCGGCAGCCACAGCGTGAGGCTTTGTCACCCATTTCCACACGCCATAGTGCATTGTGTTGCGATGCCGTGCACAGCAAGTGATGCATCTCTGCTCCACTGTCACTTTCACTCAGCAAGTAAAGTCTTGCTCTGACAGATTGGTTGTTCAGCGCTCAGAGAGTGCAACAGAGGAGAGACATCAAAGACGTGAAGAATCTGAAGAACCTCTGATTTCAGTCCGACAATTTCACTGCCATCATTTTCCTTATGAAAAAAAAATTAACACCTAAAACCAGCAACGATGTTATTAACTTTGAAAGTCTAATACACAATTACAGATTTTTCTTCTCCAAAATTATCAAAAGTAAAAAAAAAAATCTTAAATGTGCAAACGATACGCCGAGCACTTCATGTTGTGGAACCAGCATCATATCATGGGATGTATCATAAATCCAAAACATGTTCATGAGGAATAAATGATACCTATAATCCATTAAAGCAAACAAACAAAAAAAATTTAAAGACACATTATTCAGTTCTACAGCTTTATCAACAATAAAAAAAGGACAAATAAGAATCCAACCATGTACATGGTGTGTAGTCAAGCATGGGTTCACATCAGATTATTATTATTATTTTTTTTTTGTACAATAGCCCATTTTACACTAGATGCAAAATATAGGTTACCATGGTTACACAGAGCCGTGGTCATGAATAAGAGAAACAAAAGTCAGAATTGATTTGATGACTGTCCATGCACAGAAATGACATGTTTGCTTCATCTGTAGGTCATCAAAGTTATTTGTAAATGGAAATGTTCCCCCCCAAAAAACATCTACTTGAATAATTTTGTTATCCTCTTTTATAACTATTTTCTGGTCTGGTACAGAGTCTTCCCTCTGTTAATGGATGTGAGTGTGAGCCCAAACTCACCCAAACACCTTTAGCTCGTACACGCTGCCACTTTGTTAGGCAGAGTGGCTGTGAATTCACATCTTAACCACATGTTGCAGCTTTTCTGAGTAGTGTGGTGCGTGCATAGTATCTCATAAAGGTGATACAGTATAATGCAATGCCTTGTTTTCAGTAACCACAAAATTGTGTATAGAGATTGATCTTTTTTTTTCAAATCATATTCCATATACATTATTTTATGCTTAGGCTGAGTAGAAGATCAGTTGTTTACTTACAAGTAAATACCCCCCCCCACACACACACACACACACACATTTTATATATATTATATTATTAATATATTCCCAAACTCATACAATATTCTAATCAATGTTTCTAAAGTCTAAAGGCTCTAAAAGAGACGAGTCATGATTTCAGTTCTCTGCCTCCTCTCAGCCATGGTTGCACTCTGCACTATTGGCCACGCCCACTTCTCCCTGCAGCAGTAGAGAAATCAGAGAGGAGGAGCTGCAGGATGACGTTTCTGCTGCAGCGTGGGGTGGACAAAGGTGCAGCAGGTGCTAATTGATTTAAAATATTTGATTTTAAATAAAAAAAAAACATGCTGATCGTGCAGCTAATCCATCAATCAGCCAACTGTGTGTCAATTCCAATCTTACTTTGAAAAACTGTGATTAGAGCGAATCTGCGAAAAACGAGCTACAAAGTAGCGAGGGACTACTGTAAATATATATAATGTTTGTTGCATTGTTTTTGCACTATTACATGTTTAGCATATTCTTTGTTCATATTTTAGATCTTTATTACTGTTTTATTTTACAATTTATACTTTTGCTGTTGTTGGACGGGACCTTGTGTATACAATTGCGTTCCACAATTTCCATTTCCAAAGATTCCAAAGATTCCATATATATATATATATACATACTTGTTTATTATAATGAACAGACACACACAACATACAGAGGATGCTTCACACAACCTGCAGAGGAAGTGTGCATGGCAAAAAGTTTAATCTAGTTTTATAGCTCTCCTTCATGTGATAAAGAAAGACAAATGGGTCAGAAAGACTTTGAGCGCTGTGTTCTTCGATAACTCGGCTCACGTCTTTTGTACTCCTGTTCCATTTAGATAAGACATGTACCAGTTGGACAAGATATCAATCATAAGATGTACTTGGTCTATTTTGATTTAACAGGAGATGCATGACTCATCACTGTATCAAAACACCCTGACTTTATATTTAAGGTAAAGTATAAAGTTCTCTGAGACAGTACGCACACATTTGATTGTATACTTTGGATTTTAACTGATCAGGACATTATCTACTTAAATTGAATTCCATCACACACAATTGTGTTGAATTTTGCTAAATATGAATTTGACAACGTTTTGTGAAATTAGAACATAATAAATTGGGTGACGAATCACTGAACTATTTTAATACATTTATGCCTGTTTTGTGATTTAGTGACATCATTAAAATAAAAAAATAAAAATTATTTATTTTATCTATTGTTACTCTTTTGAAGGGGTAAGCTATGCATCGTTTTGTTAGTTTTTAAATTGTATTTATTATTTTGGTTTGTACAGTTTTGATTGGGTTGTTGACAAAAGATGAACTAAAGAATGATTTCACATTCATCCACTCACAGCCGCTGGACACATCGCCTACAGGAAACATTCATGAGGGTCAAACGTTTTTAAATTTCCAATGGTATGACAAATGATTTTTGTAAATATAAAAAACAGACTAAGTACCTTTATGGCTATTTTGCATTCATGATTTATTTATTTATTCATTCATTTGTCTTTAGAAATATTTCCATAAAACAGCAGAGAATTTAAACATTAAGCATAAAATGTACAACTACTATCGGATTGTATTTAAAGTTCCCAGCTGTTTCATCAGTTAAAAATAAAATAAAATATAAGAAAAAGTTACTTTCAATGGCAAACCGTCAAAATTGCTGTTAGTGTTGCGTTTAAATGTTCACAGCATAAAAATAAATGCACCTTTATCTTCTACGTTTTTGTAGTTGCTCTTTTTTAGCTTAACATTCACCAGCTGTATCACCTTTTACCATAAATCCAAAATATATTTTCCTGTCTCTGAACTTTGGGTTCTTCTGCCTGCATCACTTTTAATTTGTGGGTTTAAGTTTATCTTTCATTGGTCTCTGTCTATAGAACTGGATCTCACTCTGGACATATTTTTTTTTACCAGATTTTTACTTCACATATATTCCAATTAGAAGCTCATTTCCATGTGTTGGATTTTAATTTACTTGAGTTGTTGTTTATTTCATTTGTTTTTACTTTGGCATTGACACATCCAAATAAAGTTCAGCATATCTCAGCCAAAGCCGCTCTGAAAAACAGCATCCATACTAAAGAAAAGCACAGCACATCACCTGACAACTGTTTTGACAGGCAGAGTCATAATCACAGTCTTTCCTTAGAAAACCTGTGACAACACTGACGGCATCTTCAGTGGTTTGCTCCGACAGGAAACAGTCATTGTCTCTACTGCATAGGTCACTTTTGGATTAAAAACAACACAACAAAGATGAAAAATAATTAACATGAAGGATTTCTTCCATAAAAAAACTGGCTTTCAAGAAGAACAAGAAGAAAAGGAAACTAAAAAGAACAAGAACAGAATAGCAGTAATAAAGAGAACAAGAAGAAAATAGAAAAAGTAGTTATAGAATAATAAGAACAACAAGAACCACAAGCAGAAGAACAAGAAAAAGAACAGAAGATTTTTGATTTTTAACTGAATGTCATTTACACAAGAAGAAGATGAAGAACAAGAAGAACAAGAAACGAAGAAGAAGAATATTTTTTTGATTTTTAACAAAAAAAGTTAACACAACAGTGTTAAAAAAAGGTGATCAGGACAAACTTAAAATAAAATATTTTACACGAGGAGCTTGTTGTATCCTAGTTCTCCCTGATCAAAAATGTTGCATAAAATCTTCTTAAATCTCCACAGTTTCACAGAATTCTCCAGGTGTCCGGTGTCTCTGTGGAAGCAAAACTCCAACGCCAGTTTGGCCTTGACGTTGCACCTCCACAGAGCCACGGCGTCAAGTTGGGGTCCAGCCTGCAGTCTGTCCCTGCATGAGAGACAAGTAAATAGACATTTTTGCTTCAGCAACTAAACAGTTTGGGATTTAAACTTAGTGGCCTTGCTGTAATGTACTCCATTAATAAAAACAGAATTGGTGAAAACTGTGTAAAAAAGGCAAAAGATCCTGGTCATTAGATTAAACAGAGCCGTCAGCCGTACACCATCTGTAAAACCATGACTCAGGCAAACTGCAAAAAGGACACTCGTTTAAAACAACAGGATTGATAACAGACAAAAAAAGTGTTTGTTGCAATGGATCTGTGAAGGATCCTCCAGTGAATATCGCCAGTACGTTTTTTTTGTCCAAGGTTTGTACATAGTCCTTCACTGGGGCTTCTGACCTCCGAGCTTGTCGTCCCATTCGCTGACAACTCTGTTGTGCTGAGTTCTCTTGTTCAGGATCTTAACATAATTCTTATACAGTGCTTTTGGACCCGTTCTGCACAAGTGCATCTTTGGGTCTGTGTTGCATAGCAGAGGACCACTATCTTTCGCAAAGTCAGGATCCAGGTAGATGTCCGGGAAAGGGTCCACTGGGTCAGGCAGGCGGTTCCCAGTGGACCACAGCTGCAGGAGACACTTTTCTCCAGTTGTCAACCTCTCCCTCACCAGGTCCAGGGAGCGCTGCACCACTCTGGCAGACTGGACCACAAGCAACGGAACCAAAGAAGTATAAAAATAATAATAAAGAGGACAAGAACAAGAAGAAAAAAGAAAAAGTAGTCGTAGAATAATAATAAGAACAACAAGAACCACAAGCAGAAGAAGATTTTTTTTTTGATTTTTAACAAAACTTTATTTACACAATAATAACACAAGTGTTAAAAAAGGTGATCAGGGCAAGCTTAAAGTACAATATTTACATAAGAAGAAGAAGAACAAGAAAAAGAACAAAATAAGATGAACAAGAAGAAAAGAAACGCAAGAACAAGAAAACAAGAGAATAAGGAGAAAAATAAAAAGAACAATAAAAAAACAACGACAACAACAACAGCAAAGAAGAAGGAGAAAATGAAGAAGAAGAAGAATTTCCAGCCTTCTGGCGTTACTGCTGAGAAACACATTGGCTGATACGATCAAACCGTTAAAGGTTGATTGTACATTGATTTTTTTTCCAAAATCTGCTTCAGGGCTTCATGGGTTAATGGAAAATGTTACACATCCAATAGATCTTTTGTAAAATTAAATCTAAATGGTTTTGTTTCCTATATAATGGCTCGGTCAATTATTTCTATAAAAAGTTTTTTTTTAATATTTCCATGGTCGATTTAATACTGGGTACGGTTCTGTTCTAGCATGAAATCCCTGTATTTCTTCATCTAATGCCTTACAAAACCAAAATAATTATTCATTAGAGGTATCATATGGAAAAGGCAGAACATATATTGCAATATTGCAATGTGGCAGCTGAAGAGAAGCTCTCCATCTGCATCTCAGTAGAACATAGACTGGCATGACTTCAAAACACTTGGTTTTATATAATAAAATGGACAAACAACATGCAGCAATTGTTCATGCAATTAGTATATTCAAATTATGACATTTGAACACACAGCATGACACAAATATTAACAGTAACATGCAGTCTGTGATAGTCCCCGCTATACACACTCATCACCTCTGTCTCATTGAAGCAGATCAAATTGATTATTGTGTTTGAAAACAAAGACATATATATATATATATATATATATATATATATATACACATCAACTTATACTTTAATATTAAAAATAAGTACATACTC